GGACCGCTCACCTGCCTGTCTACCTGATCACCCCTAATCCCTCTGCCTGCCCGATCACCCCTAACCTCTCTGCTTGCCGGCCTGATCACCTCTAACCACCTCTGCCTGACAGCCTAATTGCCCCTAACTGCTCCCCTGCTGGCCTGATCACCTCTAACTGCTCCCCTGCCTGCCTGATCACCCCTAACCACCTCTACCTGCTGGCCTGATCGCTCCTAACCACCTCTGCCTGCCAATCTGGTCGCCCCTAACTGCCCTCCCCTGACGGCCTGGTCACCCCTAACTGCCCTCCCCAGCCAGCATGGTCACCCCTAACCACCTCTGCCTCAGCCCCCACCACTGTGGCTTTGTCCAAAAGGACGTCTGGAAGATGTCTGGTCTAATTAGCATATTACCCTTTTATTAGTATAGATGATACTCACCACCACCTGATATTGTATTATGTATTTGCCTATATGTCTGTTTACACCTCATCAGTTCCCTTTCATTTCAGGTCTTTATTCTAAATTTGTTTACCAGCTTTTAGAATAATCACTCATACATCTTTATCAATAGTGTTGTGAAAGTAAGACAATATGAAAATGGCCACAAAGCTTAATGTAAACCCACCTCTACAGTAAAGGTATCTTTGGTAGACTCATAAGTAACATTAAGCGTTAGAAGATGTCCATGAAATGAGGCACCATGAGGTAGAATAGTTCGTAGAACAGAATAAAAATCCTTGAAAAAGATAATAAACAAGTTAGATTCACAGTGCCACTGTTAAACATCTCAAAAATACATACCTAACACATTGAGTCTAATAATGGGATGATTCAGTTGCTTTAGAAAAAAAGAGAGGCTTACCTCTATAGTGATCACATAACGTTCTGCCAGAAGCAGCAATCTCTCAATGATTACAAGTTTAGTGGATCTATAGATTAGAAAAAATTTTAAACATATTTGAAATGAATTGCTGATTTGAGCTCAATTCCAGTCTGTTTCACCCAAACCCCAATCAACAGGTAGCAGTCATTGGTCAAAGACTGAAATTTGCAAAGACTAAACTTCCCTTTCATCCAAGGAGGAGGTAACGCAAGCAGTCCACAGCTGCAGTGCACAGATGGCATAAGGGAGGAGAAGATTGACCCTCCCACATTTCCTTTCCTTTCCTGTTCTTTTCTTTCTTCTTTTTTAAACAGCTGTTCCATAAATAGAGGACCTGGGTCTCCAGGCCCATTTGTCCATCAATCCACCAAGAATAAAAAATCAGTGAGCTTGACTCTCATTGTTTTACATCTAAAATATGCTACATAATTCTGTAAACACAGGGAATCAAAGTTCTAAACTGCCTGAAAATTAGAAGACAAATGCAAACCAGGAAGTATTCTACAAATAAGAGTTGCTATTTGGTTTTTTAAAATAATGTTTATTTTCAATTATAATTGATGTACTATATTGTATTAGTTTCAAATGTACAACCCAGTGATTAGACATTTATATCACTTACAAAGTGATCATCCTGATAAATCTAGTATCCATCCAACACTACATATTTATTATTATACTAGAGGCCCGATGCACGAAAATTCGTGCAAGAGTAGGTCTTTCTTCCCCTGGCTGCCAGCACCGGCTTCCCTCTGGCATCCGGGACCCAGGCTGCTTCCCTCTTCCGGCCGCCTGCAGGCACCCGGGACCTGCGCTGGCTTCCCTCCGGCCCGGCTTCTTCAGGAAGGATGTCCGAATGACGTCCGGTCTAATAATCCTTTATTATTATAGATTATTAACTATATTTCCTATGCTTTACTTTATAGTCCATGAATATTCTATAAGTATCAAATTGCACTTCTTGATCCCTTCACCCTTTTCACTCATTTCCCTAACCCCCTTCCCATCTAGCAACCATCAAAATATTCTTTGTATCTATGAGTTTGTTTCTATTCTGCTTGTTTATTGTTTTTTAGATTTCATATATAGGTGAAATGTTATGGTATTGTCTTTCTCTGACTTATTTCACTCAACACAATGCCCTCTAGGTTCATCCATGTTGTTGTAGATGGCAAGATTTCATTTTTTTTTATAGCCGAGTAGTATTCCATGATGCATACACACCACCTTTTCTTTATCCACTCACCTACTGATAGACACTTAGGTTACAATTTGTTTGAATTAGGCTAAGAATGAGGAGAAAAGGAAGAATAAACAATTATTCATCTGTGAACATTCTGTATAGTTCAAACTTAAAATATAAGAATTTGTAATCTAAGGGTTTTCAAAGTACTTAAGAAATCAACACATAGAAGACATAACCATCTCTGGGACAGAAAACACACAGCAAGGGAGCATGGAGTTCTAACAGACACTGAAAATGAGACCTGAGGTCTCTTTTAGTCAGACTTATGAATTCCTTATCATGTGAAATATAGTCGGCCCTCCATATCTGTGGGTTTAGCATTGTGGATTCAACCAACTATGGATCAAAACACCTTGAAAAACCAAAATCCCAGACAGTTCCAAAATGCAAAATTTGAATTTTCCATGACCTGAACACTACCCTGAATCCACACAAATCAAGTGATGTGTAGGTATACCCTGCTGTAGCCTACATGCAAACATAAATTAATGCAAATACTACACCATCTATCTATATAAAAGTGTAAGTGATGTCGCAACCGAATGGCTGACCGAATAGGCTGCATGGAGCGACCAGGCCAGTGGGGTGGGGGGGGGGGGGGAGGGAGGGCCGACCAAACAACTGAGCATCAGGCTGTGTGGGGCAACCAGGCCGGCCGGGGGGGCAGTGAGGGGCGATCAGGCAGGCAGGGAAGCGGTTAGGAGCCAGCAGGCCAGGATTGTGAGAGGGATGTCAGACTGCTGGTTTAGGCCTGATCCTGGCAGTCAGACATCCCACGAGGGGTCCCGGATTGGAGAGGGTGCAGTCTGGGCTGAGGGGACTCCCTCCGCCCCTGTGCATGAATTTCGTGCACCAGGCCTCTAGTTTTATATAAAGGACTTGAGGATCCTTGGATTTTGGTGTGTGTGTGTGTGTGTGTGTATGTGTGTGAGTGCACGCGCGCGTGCACCATGGAAGCAACCCCCCTTGAATACCAAGGGATGACTCTGATAGGACTGACTCCAATATCCAGCACTTACAGAGTCACAGCTCCATAACTTTACTGAAGAGAATGCTACATGTGTTCACACTGAGAGATGAAAAATCCAAATGCCTTTAAGTATTTGCTATTCCAGAAAGTCTACTTCAAATAGGTATATTTCTAAAACTGAAAAGAGGTACCACTATTTTCTAATACTTCATTAGCATTATTGGAAATTTTACTTGAAAAGAGTTGATTAAATACATATTAACAGTTCTGTTAAATACATTTAACCGAGTTCTGAATTCTTTCAGTCTATAAGCAGGAACCAGATTTGATATTCAGATGAAAAATCTTTAGGAAATATCTAAGTGCTATAAGTGTATTGTTGAGTACACTGTTTTAATTATGCTCAATAATCAATTAACCGCAGACATCACCATAGCACACTGAACAGCTGAGAGAACAGCTCCTCCCCCTTGAGCTGGAACAATTATGGTCACTAAAAAGTTCTTTCAAAACTGGTAAAATAATATAAAAACAATGTCCTGGTTCAAATGCAACGCTGATATTATACATTCTTATTAACTCTGTTTTTAAAGTTTATAATAAAAACTAGAGGCCCGGTACACAAAAATTTGTGCACTCGGGGGGGGTCCATCATCCTGGCCTGTGCCCTCTTGCAGTCTGGGACCCCTCGGGGAATGACCACCTGCTGCCTTAGGCCTGCTCCCTGGGGGATTGGGCCTAAGTTGGCAGTCAGACATCCCTCTGGCAGCCCGGGAGCCCTCAGGGGATGTCCACTTGCCAGCGGGGAGCAAGCCTAAGCTGCAGTGAAACATTCTTAGCGTTGCTGAGGAGGCGGGAGAGGCTCCCACCACCGCCGCTGCACTGGCAGCCGTCAGCCTGGCTTGTGGCTGACCAGAGCTCCCCCTGTGGGAGCGCACTGACCACCAGGGGGCATCTCCAGCATTGGGTTAATATGCATATAGTCATTCTGATTGGCTGGTGGGTGTGGCTTAGGGCATAGCAGAGGTGTGGTCAATTTGCATGTTTCTCTTTTATTAGATTAGATATTTAAAAATTATGTGGTTTTGCTCTGTAGTCAAATATGAAATGATTTACAGTAAAAATCATTTAGTAAAAAGGAAAAAAACCACACTTATGAACCCCAATATTTCATAAATGTATTTCTATTCTGGTTTGTCAGACAAATGAATTATTGAGAATCTAGGTCATAGAGATGGACTACAATTTATAAACATATAATTAGGAATTCTTAATGCACATTCTTAGTGAAAGTCTATTTATGAGATACTTCTAAACATGTGGGAATGCAAAAGCGATGTAATGTGTTCTTATCATGAGTTCAATATATAATCACTTTCTGCCATTTAAAAAAGAGGTTCTAGAGGGTTGAGTATTATTGGCTGCCTTCACATTAATAAAACATCACTATACAATACTCATTTTTAAAAAGATAAAGAGTGTGAACAAGGATATTGTTTTGATTCCATTTCTAAATAAAATGAAAAGGAATATACCCAACTGTAAATAAAAATACATACACACATACATAAAGTCATTCCAGGAGCTGAGAGAGACTGTATGAGTACCCATCACTAGAGGGCAGCAGAGTGAGGTGCAGAGACCCTCTATGAGCACCTGTCAAGGTTTCCTGGGAATCACTGATTTGGTGCTGCTTACCAGTAATGGAAGACTCATAAAGCCTCACAAAAATGTTCTAGTTGTTTCAATCTCATGTTTCTAAATATTTATCTATTCTACTTACTATATCAAAAAACTGGAACAAATACTGAATTCAGATTTCACTGATTGAAATCTCTAAACACAGCAATGTGATTAAGAGACAATGTCAGTTCCATTTTAACACAAATATTTGGGGATGAAGTTCCCATAAAACATTATTTTAAGTAAATAGTATTTTAACTATGAATATATTATAATGTACACTTTTAATTAATCATCATCCTCCACTTCATTTTGCTTATGCTATGAATGCTTTGGATTTGATTATTCAAGGAGAAAATTTGTAAGATGTCTAAGTAAGTAAATATTTAAAACGTTAAAAAATTACTCTTCTTCTAATTAATGGATCTTTATTCCATCATAATGGAGAAATGACTCACTACACCGTTTTAAAAAGTTAAATGAATAAAAAACCCACAAAGAAACCTTGTCTACTAGGTAGAGGAGTAGGAGCAGAGTAATATTTGGGTGGTTATGATAATGACCTACAAATCTTCAAGAGATACAAATTTGGGGATATATAATGGAAAACATAATCTCCCAGGACATGACTGTTTGCAAAGTTTTGAAATAAAATGAAGAAATCAACAATTGAGAGATCTCCATAGGAGGGGAAAAAATGTATCAATTATTTTTTAAACTGTATATATATAATTGCAAATATTAGAAACCTCACATGTGTGTGTGTGCGTGTGTGTGTGTGTGTGTGTATACATATATAGATGTATATATACAAACATACCAGTTAGCCCTGTGATGAATCTGTGTGCGAGTAGCTTGCTGCCACTTGCCTCAACTGGCCACCCCACCCACCGCCGCTGGTAGCTCTCTACCGATATTAGCTCGCTGCCCCGCCCCCTTCTGTAGCTCTCCACCACTTGTAGATGGGTTGTGATGTTATGACGTACTGGCTAATTTGCATATTCCTCTAATTACATATATATATATAGTATTTGTTGTAACTTCTGCAATCACTTACCTATATGGAGACTGAACTGATGTTGCTACAGTTGGCATGGCAGTTGCTGTAAGCATTTTTGTTGCTCTGGTCACAGCATGTGTTAGAGTGGGGCCGCCAAGTGCTGAACTGGCTGCCTGTGAAATAAGAAATAATCATTCTAGATCAGGATTTCTCAGCCTCAGATCAATTGGCATTTTGGGCTGGAAACTTCTCTGTTGTGGAAGACTGTCTCAGGTATTGTAGGATATTTAGCAGGATATATATCCCTGACCTCTACCAGCAGGTGCCAGTAGGATTCTTCAAAATGTGACAACTAAAAAGGTCTCCTGACACTGCCACATGAACTGTGGGAGGCAAAATAACTCCCAGTTGATAACTACTATTCTATGTATGTTAATACATGGTACCTCATTTAGAGGAATTTTTTAAATATATTTTTGATTTCAGAGAGGAAGGGAGGAGAGAGAGATAGAAACATCAATGATGAGAATCATTGATCGGCTGACTCCTGCTCACCCCCCACAGGGATTGAGCCCCCAACCTGGGCATGTGCCCTGACCAGGAATTGAACCATGACTTCTGTTTCATGGGTTGACACTCAACCACTGACTCACACTGGGCAGGCTAAATGTTTTTTATGATGACCTATCTGGATGGAAGTCATGACTTGGGAAAGCCTACACATATTCTAGCACATACTCATCACCAAAATGTTTAACTTATTAACATTTGGGGGAAGTAGCACTTTATATTTTTAGAATACTCTTTATTGGATATTAAAAAACAAGCACAGATTAAGAAAGAAGATGAATGTTCAATGTTTTAACGTATCATGCTAGAAATAAGGCATTACATGTGAAATGAATTACACAGCAGGCTGTCTAGGGGGAAAGACAACCAACAACACCTACTAATGAGTATCCTGGTATGGCCTTTAATAGCATTTATAATATAAACTAGGTGAAACATGGGAAGCATGGAAAAAGAAGCAAGTGCTTATATAAAAGTCCTGAACCAAAAAGTAAAAAGGAGGAAAAGAATCCATTGGAAATGTGGAGTGGAGCAGACCCGAAGACAGAAAACAGGTTCCTATACCCTCAGAGGGAGGTGGGTAAAGCAGGGAAGAGGGTGGTGGAGGAAAAAGAAGAAATGTCTATAGATACTTGTATGTGGGGGCATCAAGGTAAGCATCTGCTCCCTGCATTACAATATGGCTGGTTCACGGATTCTTCAACAGGATCCAGCCACAAATAGCAACTACATACATGATCTCAAAATATAAAATTATAAAAGGAAAGAAAAAGAAAGCATTTATTTAAAAAACAGGTTAAATAAAATTTGCTACTCACTTCTAATCTTGTATAGCAATCAGCAATGAATTTCTTATGCAATGATACAGAATCCTAAAAGTAAGAGGTATATGGAAATTAAACTTCGTCTGGCATTTAGCTGTAATCATTAAGGACAAATGTCAACATAAAGAAGTCAACTTTTAGGCATGCTAACTTATAAATAAAAATAAATACAATCTTCTGCCCTTTTGTGTTTGACTACCTTCTTCCTGTAGATACCCACCTTCTTTAACCTAGGATTTAGATTAATGTAACTATAGTTTATGATTAACTGAATAGCTTCATTTGCAATTTCTTCATCAGGTGATTCCATGGCTATTTTCCAAATGAAATCCATTCCTATCAATTCCAGCTTTTCTACATACTGTTCAAAAGAAAAGAAAAATAATACACCAAGGTCACAAAATTAAAATTATTTTCTGTTACACTGTAAGTTCACACCTCTTTAGTTCAATATGAATTAAGGCTGTAAAGAACTAACTATATGAGAACACTACTGTACCAATATGGAACTTAAAAGACAACCAACCACAGACACACTGGGCCATGCCCAAGGGAACCAGAGTAGATGTGAAGAAGATTTTTTCCACTTACACCTGCACCCATACTAGACATCTACCCAACTGAACTACTGATGCAGAACTAGCAAAGCGTGAGATGGGTGCCATCCTCAGGAGCTTTTTTTCAGAAGAAAATGAAGTCAAGCTAGAAGTAGTTAATACTCCTTGGAGCTCAATTCAGACTTCCCAAGGGCTTAAAAGGTCTTGTAAAAATTCTTACTATCCAGGAAACCAGGTCAAGAAATGTTCTTAGAAAAGAGAGTTATTTTTTGCCTTTCTTTTTAAAGGAGCACATATATATATAAACAGCTGTACACATTCTATAGATCATTTTCCTGCTTCATTGTCTGCTCCTAAAGTTTTCTCCCCAAATCCTTGCCACTGCAATCTCAGAACTGAAGACTTTGTTACTTTGTTAGGAATATGCGGGTTGATGGGTCTGAGGAGTTGGAAGTGTAGATGGAACTAACCTACTCTACACTGACCGAGCCTCAGGAAGCCACTGGCAGCCCCGGGTCAGTAAGAAGCAGAGGGATCTAAGAGGTCAGTTGTCATCAATGCAGAAAACAGCAGACAAAGGATACCCAGTCTTTTAAAAAACTTCATGTTTCACTGTTTATAGCATGTTTTTGCTGAATATAAAATTTTACCAGATTATTTAAATTATTCAGATTCGAGAACAATGTACTTACCAACTGAGCTCCTTGTCTTTTCAATCGATGATCACAGAGATTCACATTTTCAAAAAAAGTCTTAAATAAGTTAAAACCTGAAATTAGAGAATGTCAAATAAATTCCTGTACTGTAAGCAAAGACTCAAAAGCATATCAAGGACTGAAACTAAAATACTCAGGACAAAACATAGGCACAAATTTTTAAGACCTTGGATTAGGCAATAGTTTCTTAGATATGGTCCCCAAAGTACAAGTAACCAAAGAAAAAACAGATACACTGGACTAAATCAAAATTAAAAACTTTTGTACTTAAAAGGACTGTCAAGAAAGTGAAAAGACAACCCATAGAATGGGACAAAATATTTGGAAATCATATTTCTGACAAGGAGCTAGTATGCAGAATACATAAGGAACTCTTACAATTCAACAACAAAAAAAAAGACAAATAACCTAATTAAAAAATGGGCAATAGATTTGAATAGGCATTTCTCCAAATATATACAAATGGCTGGTAAACACATGAAGAGTCAATCTCATTAGTCTTCAGGGAAATGCAAATCAATACCATGCGATACCACTTCACACCCACTAGGATGGCTAAAATAAAAAATATAGACATTAACAAGTGCTGGTGAGGAAGCAGAGAAATTGAAATTCTCACACATTGCTGGTGGGATTATAAAATAGTGCAGCCACACTGCAAAAGTTTGGTAGTTCCTCAAATATTAATTTTCTGATATAGCAATTCCATCCTGGGTATATATGCTCAAGAGAAATAAAAACCTCTGTCCACACAAAACTTGTACATGAATATTTGTAGAAGCATGATTAATAGCCAGAGAGTGTTAACAACCCAAATGTCCATCAACTGATGAATGGATAAACAAAATGTGGTATAGGCTCACAATGGTATTATTTGGCCTAACTGGAATGAAGTACATGCAACAACTAACCTGGGGTGAACCTTGAAATTATCATGCCTCAGCATAATGAAAAATGCCAGACCCATGTTGTACAATTCCATTTATATGAAATGTTTCGATTAGGAGAGTCCATAAAGACAGAAACTGTATTAGAGACTGGGGGTAGGGGTGAACGGGGAGTGACTGCTAAAAGGTACAGAATTTCCTTTGGTGATGAAAATGTTCTGGGATTAAAAAGTGGCGAAGATTGCACAACTTTGTGAATATACTAAAAGCCACTGATTTTACACTTTTAAAAAGTGAACTTTACGGTATATAAATTATATATCAATAAAAAATTTCAGTTAAAATAAACACCCAAAAGGAAGATTTCTATACTTTGAGAAAATTTGACTTTAAATGAATCCTTTTTGTTCTAAGTAACTTCATAAAAAGACAATTTTGGCAATTTGAATTATCAGGCCATATGATTTAAAAAACTAATTATAAGATAACATTTATACAGAAAAGAATTTATCATGTGACAGGAACAAAACTGTACACAAACAGAATTATAAAGGCAATGCTTATTAAAAATACATTTCATTTTCAAAATGTGTATAAATATTTAAGTATGTAAACATTTTTGTGGGGCACCCTGTATAAACATCACAAACATATTCCATACTGCTTGGTTGCTTCTGGAAAGTTGGCTTAGAAGGGAAGAATACAATTTTTTAAAGAACTGAAAAAATGATTCTGTGTTTTTTCCTACCATTCATAGTGATTTCATATGATTCCAATTTAAGAATCTTCTCCTTGAAGAGCTGCTGCTGAACATCACTCTCAAGGTCATGTTGCCCTTTTGTAAACCATTCAAAACACATCTGTGGATCAAGACAAATATTACCCTACAACTAAAATCCACTCCAGAAAAATACATATTCCAAATTGGGACAGTAAAGATAAATTAGTTGTAATTCTTCAAAAGTTTATATTGCCCAAATACCACTCAAAATGGAAATGCTTAGAACTCTGGACTAAATAAAGCATTAAGTTACTAGCAATCTTTCCCACAGATAATGTATATATTCCCACTTTTCTTAGAATTTTATACTTGAGTTTTTCCACAAATATTTATTAAGAAGCCAGGCATTGTGCTAGGCACTATCACATACTTAGTCTTTTCAACAATCCTATCAAGTAGTTAATATTATTCCATAAAATGAGAAGAAGAAACAGCGATTCACTGCTAGTAAATGTCAAAACAGGTGTTGAGCTCCTGGTTTAATCTATTTTCCGCTGTTTAATTATAGTTCTAAAATCTGTCTAGGCCTTCATTCTTCTTTGATGTTTCTGGGGTAAAATGACATTAAACGAACTCAGCTTTCTATTTGTAACTTAAAATTAGTTTCATGTGACAGGAAGAAAAACACACTAAAAGATATAACTTTGTCCACAATACCATCTTCTTACCTCTCTATCTAATTCACAAACATCCTGGCCAGTCACAAGACACTCCCAGATTTCCTTGGCACGATTCCAACCCAAATACAGAGTAGCTTCTTGCAAGAAAAATGCCAGAAATTTTAGATGGGCTTCTAAATACTGCAAAAAGAAAATGATAATTATTGAACTCCAGGCATTCATAACTAAAAGCAAAATTTAAAAAACAAAATAAAACTTTAAAAAACAGTTCTACTAATGCTTTCCCATATAATTTATGGTAAATGTGAGAAATCTGTTTACAAGCTGACAGTACAACATAGTAGAAGCTACTTCAAGTCTATTAAAAATTCAGTTGCCTTAGATAATAAAATATGATTTCAGCAATCTCAAAAAGTAAAACATCATAAACTCACAACCAGTCAGTTAAGATTTTTTTCCTCTAACTTAAAAAAATACTACTACTAATCAATTGATTTGAAAACAAAAACAACTATCTACAGAATTGACAATTAGTATTTCATGTCAAAGTCAAAGAAAAGATGTCTATTTTTATTACTTTATCATAATGCAGTTCTTAGCGCAAAAAGTCCAAATGAACATTGTAAATCTTGAAATAAAAGCAGTGCCAATACCCACCTCCCGGTAAGTGTATCGGCCATCCACTAGTGTTGAACCAGTCAGGCCTCCAGGTCCAGCCATGGCTGCTGCAAGCCGATGACAAGCTATCAAACTTCCCGTTACCAATTTCACTATTTCAAAATTTTTCTTCAAGTCTTGAATAATGCTCTTGGCAAAAACAACCAAAAACAAAAATGGTATGAAAATTTAGTTATTTTGTCATTTTAATACAAACTTCTGTTAGCAAGTAATCCTAGGTGAGTGATAGCAAACATGATTTCTTCACTCACATTTCTTACATGAAAGTAAATAAAATCAATCTGGTATGTACACTTACTAGGGAATTAATAAACTCCTCTGCAAAATTTTGCTTCTAAAAAATATTATTTTTCTTTTATAAAGAACTCTTTCAACAAAACTATCCAGATTTTTCTTCTCAAGTCTATTACATTGAGGAAGTTCTAGCTCCATAGTCACACTAATTTTTTGTAATATAAAGTAAACCTTTGAGTTCTTTCAAGCAAATTTCTAAAATACCATTCTAACTTTTAAAAACTGGCCTAGTGATGTTAATATATAGGTAATAAAAGGAAATAAAAATGAGTGAAGGATACATAAAAAGAAAAGCTCCACAGAAATGAAAGCAGAATGATGTTTAAACTCAAAATTATTAAATAATACAAATGCATTACATTAATAACCATAAAATGTAAAATAGTGACAAGACTCAGCGATCTTATTCATGTTTTGTTATTATAAAAAGTTACGAAACAACTGTATGATAATCGGACTTGGCTATACTATACTCTTACCTTGTCTTGCTTTTGATAGGTTTGTTTTATGAATGAACGGGTGATTTCATGGAGCTGACGCAAAGCTGGTACCACCCATACAAACTGGGGATTGTTAAGCTGACATGACTAGAGTTAAAAAGAAGTTACATAAATTAAATTTAAAAATAAATGGCAGACAAAACTTATTAGCTATAAAAAATGTCCACGTCAATTAGGCTTCACTATTGCACATTCTATTATTTTTCTCCTCACATTGCTCATTTATAGCTTATCTCATGCATTCATAATTCAGTCTTCAGCTTCTTATTCTGCATGCAATTTCCTAAGGCCAAGAACTGCAAACAGGAGTGGATGTGAAGTGACAGCAAATGTACAGGGGTACGTCAGCAAAAAACAGACAACAAGGAATTAGCAACTTCAAAGGATAGATTAAGTAGCATAGGCTGCTAGGACATGTTGAGATAATAAAATAAATTGATGGCAAAAGCTTATCTTGGATAAGACAGAACTGGCTGATAAGTAAAATGGTATAAAAACATAGTTTTCTATAATTATATGATTAAGATACCAATGATATGATTAAGATACTGATAGTGGTCTAAATATTAAAGGAAATATTCACAATCTGCTTGTATTTCCTAGTTTAAACAATTTTATAAGAGATAGTTCTATTTATATTAATTACTATAGCCACTTTATACTTATACTTTATATTTTTCAAAACACTTTTAAAACTAAGTACAAGTTTAAGTCCTGAATATTTACTTTACAGGCTAATTTTTTTAAGCTTTGCTTCTTCAAGTCTTTCTATAACATGAAGAGCCCTATGGGGGGAAAAACTTTTGATGTCCTTTGTAGAAAAACATCCTACTACTGAATATGTAAATGAGAGAGCTCTATTGCCAAACCAATTGGCTTTCCTAGAAACTAGCCAATCAATCAGCCAATACCATATTTCCTGGATTCTAAGATACAAGTTTTATAAATTTCAACAAATCCTGAAATTGATGCTTCTTACAACTATGTCAAAAGAAACTTAGCCTCTAAACATAGGAGTAAGTTTTGATACAGTTGTCCTTACTTGAGTATGTGCAAATTTAGCTGTAGAGAAAGTTATCTGTTCCTCTACCTCTCCGTTTATTTATCACTTGGTATAGGAAACACCAACCAATGAAGGTTTCTTAACTTTAAATGTTACAAAAAGATTACACTATAATGTAAAACTGACTAGCGTGTCACGTCCACAATTCAATTAAAAGCAAAGAAAACTGCTAGTGGTCTCAGAATAAAGCATTTTCCAAAGCCAGGAGAATTTTGTGTGACAGACTCATATCCTGTGAAGGGCTGTACCACTCAGCACTAAAGGCCTCTCTGTCCAAAGGTGTACCTTAATTCAAGAGAAGTTGTTTAGCGTGTAGTATACACAATTTAATGAAGTAAAAAAGCAGCTTGAATTTTATGAGAAAGGACAAGGACACAAAACTCCATACTCTTCAACATGTCTCAAAATTATACAGTCAATCTTAAAAGATTTCAAAGAGGTCAAAACCATGATTATAGCTAATGAAAAGTAGTGTGCCACAGTGAAGCTGTACATACTGGTCAAAAGGAAGCTGAGGCAAACTCTGAATCTAAACAAATGTATGATAAAAGTGAAATGTAGTTTCTCTTTTACTTCTTTATAAACTTATTAAATCTTGCATCTTAGAATCAGAGAAATAAAGTATATACAGGGTGGGGCAAAAGTAGGTCTACAGTTGTAATGAAAATAACACAATAATTAATAACATAAGAATATGTTTTGTGTACTCAGAAGTGTAAGCCTACTTTTGCCATACTCTGTATTAAAGGCCAAATTTGCAAGACTAGCTAGAATATTTCTAAAATATAGAAGTTGAAAAATGGCAGTTTAGGCTAATTCTTAGGCCTAAAATAAACTGAGACCTTCTAAAAGGATTACAAACATAAGGACATAAAATTAACACATTAGCAAATAATTGATATATTAAAAAGTATTATGACCAATTAAGTCAATTAGGATTAGAATACTTTTGACATTAAAAATTATTCTTTGAAGGTAGCTCATTATCAAATAAATTTTTAAAAAAACCACAAAAAGATAAAACTAGAATTTAAAAAGTATTTCTGATATGACCTTTCTAAAGTTTAGCAAACAGGACAGATATTATTTATTCTATCATATCTATGACGTTATGTTGCTAAGTTACAAGAAAAATTTAAGCTACTCTTCTCCACTTATAAAAGAGGCAAAGATTATGGTGAACATTAAAATAAACATACCTGATAATATCTAATAAGGGAGCTGAGCTTCATAAGTGGGAGTTAACTGGTTTGGCCTGCAAATCTATGCCTAGATCCCTCTTTTCACTGCTGTGAAGTGACCAGTTAGTCTCCCAGTGTTTCTAGTGATGAGGAGCTCAGGAGGCAGTGTTCTGCTTCAGGCTATTTTCACTGAAGTTTATTCATCTATCATACTGAAACATGCCTTCCCATAACTTCTTAGAAGCCATAAAAGTGAAGTTGAATAAAACTTCTCTGTAACAATCCTCCCAGTATCTACAGAAAGCTTTCATATTCTTTCTAGAGTTCTCTTTTCTCAAAGCTGAAGATCCCCACTTGTTCATTTGTCTTATTTATCCAGACCTTGCAATTTATCTAGAATTAAAATAAAAGTTTTTACATGAGAGAGTATTTTTTAAAAAGTATTTCCCCCTTTCCTGACCACATCACTGTGAGACTGTACTGAGGACATCTTGGTACATTTACTTTCAGTTACGTGTTTTGGCAAATGGAGGCCACTCAACTATGGGTAACACTTTTAGTGTATTTGAAGGGTGAAGGGGAGGAAGTAAGAGGAAGGGGAGCAACATTTACTGAAAGGCTGCCAGGCATTGAACTAGGAGGCCTTGAGATAACGACTTAAGGAATATGCAAATATCACTAATTAAGTAAAAATGGTTTTTTTTGGTTTAGTAATTTTTTTGGATGAGTACATTTAAACTTTTTAATTGAAGGAAAAAAGAAGTGAAATAAGATGGAGAAGGTTGGGGTAGACAGTGGAAGGTATAAAGGAAGCAAAAGAAAGAGGACCAAGGAAGCCAAGGGTATCCTGGCAGAATCTACAGAAAAATAAAGTTAAGAAATAAAGGTCAGAATTTCTGAACACAACAGTGGAACTTGGGAATTTTAAGAGTGTCAAAAGCAGGGGCAAAGGGAACCAGTTGGGGAAATAGGTAGCTGAGGGGAGAGGGAGGAAGAGGTGGGTGGTCTTGTCTTACCCTTTGCTTAGTTTCTGTGGAGCCTGGCAGGGAGACATAATCCCCAGTCAGCCCACCTTGCTGCCTGGCAGGAAAGGGCATAGCACAGAAAACACCTTTAGTGGCAGGATATACATCGCCCCGCCTGGGTCATGTCCAGGGGCTTAGATCTTCCCACTGCCCCCCTTCAGCCACGTGCACTTTAAAAGAACATCTGTAAAAGCACTTAGTCAACTGAAAAGTGCCATATAAATGCAAGATATTATTATTTGGAATAAAATAATGATACATCAGGATTTCTTTACTGGGAGCAGTGGGAAATAAAAGGAAGAATATTCTTTTCAAGACTCACAAAATAACTCCAAAATTCTCCCTATTTTTGAGTTTTGTCATGAAACAACAGATATGAATGAAGTGACTGCAAAGAGAAGCAATAAAGATGTAGTGAAGCTACTGGCTGGAAGAGCTAAGTAGTGCTTAGCTGTAATGAGGAAGGAACAGAGATCAGGAAGGTATTTTCTGGGTTTAAACGTCATTTTTCTGGAGGGGGAAGAAGTCCCTTCAGCTTTAACCTTCATTTTCTATAAAGAAATATATATGTTACTAAGAAGAAAAGACCATTTTTTTATGGATATCCTTTTCCTCTTACTATTATTAATGAAGGACCTAAAACTTCTTACGTAACTCTGGATTAGTTTCAATCATAAAGACAGAGGCTGCTAAATTATCTGAAAGGCTGAGCTGAGAAAACTGGAAACATTCCAATTGTATCTGAGTAGGAAGAGAGCAATGCTGTTGAATTAAAGAAGTAATTCCTCATAACCAGAGCACCACCAGCCCGTTTGTGAACAACTTTTAAACAATCTCTGAAGCTAGACAATATGCAAAAAATTCACTTGATCAAATTCCAATGTCAGAAATATAAAACACCAAGTTTTTAAATGCCCCCAACTAAACTTTAGGACCAAATATAAATAAGACAATAAAAGCCCACTGAATCACCAAAACCTCTTAATAAGAACTAAGAATCTCCGAGTATACCAATGACAATCAACAATAGTCAAGATCTTTAAAGAAATACTTCTTAGTGAAAGCTAAGAAAAATGATTTACCAACGAAATTACTAAGCCATTAACTATTTACCAAAACCTTTTATGTTAACAGTGAAATGAAATCCCTCTGGCTGCTAGGCTTACGTTTTGTCTGGGCAACCTCAGGGCCTCCGTAGGAGGAGGACACGGCTCCTATGACCAGGGCCGTTGCAACACCGGGTGTGTGTCCAGTGAGCAGCCACTGTGATCAGCCCTCTAAGAGGAGAGACTTGACATCTGAGGACAGGAGCAACAGGAGAGCAGCAATGACCACTGCTTCCTCTGCTAACTACCCTTTTAAAGGACAGTCCAGAGTCCACTGGAACCTGAGGCCAGAGCCCTGCAGGGTAGGGCTTGTACAGAGGGACTGCCCTCTTGCGGTCACTGCCCAAACCTACCTTCTAAAATGGAGTCCCAGCAGCAGACACTCACCCATTCACTGTTTGTCTAAGGAGGTACTTTAGGAACACATCTGAATCAAGCACCTAAAAAAATGACCATGTGCCAGCACTGAAGGAAATTTCTCACTCTCTCTCTCTCCTTCTTACTCTATAAATGTTCCTCCATGGGAGAAAAATGGTCATATTTACTTAGAATCCACTGTACTTATTTAAGCTGTCCACACTTTGGAATTAATTTTAAAAAGGTTAAGTTGAAGTTCTTATAATTTTATGAAAATAACATAATAAAACTACTCTGAATCTGATTCTGGATATTCCCCCCTCCCCCTGAGAATCAATAACTCAAGCTGTAAATAATAAAGCACAGGTCATAAATATTTAAATAGCGATTTGTATTGCACATTAGTCTAAGAAATACTAAAACACATTATTTTTAAATTATAATACAATTTATTTTTTAAAATTATTAAATTAGTATGCCTTTTAGTTGGTTCCATCTGCAAATTCTTACCTTGAATCCATCCTTCTTTTTTTCCAAACCTGACCATTCTCCAGGCTGAAAAATTGTTTTAAGAAAAATATAAGTGACTTGGTAAGTAGTTATAATGTCCCAATCTTGGATTCTAAAGGTAAAAGCTTCCAGAAGACATTTAGTTTAAATTATATAATAGTGGAGGAAAATTATCTGACTCTAATTCTCAGACAGAACTATTGTTCTGACAAAACCAGATCAAACATAAAACCAACCCTTTTAATATCTTCTATGCACTTGATGATGTAGCTCCTCTTGATCGCTTCTTTCACTGCATATGCGTCACTAAGGATTGTCAGGTGTTCATCCAAAGCTTGCTGAATGAGGCTGCTGGGCAGTGTTGGAAGATGAGCCAGTTCCCAGAGTACATCTAACACCTACAATAATAATCATATGATAAGCCAGCCAATACACAAGGAAACTGCTTTAAGTATTTATAGATAGAAAAATCCACTGGATTTCCCTGCCTTTCCAGAAGTGGTCTCAAAGCGAGCTTCCCGGCCTATCCGTCCAATCAGGCTCAATAGCTTCTGTCTTACTCGATCGCTCTCAGTTTCCCAGCTCTGTAAAACAGAAAGACAAGAATTAGTACACTATACAGTGTCATCAAACTGGCAAAATATGCAAAACTTTAAACTTGAACTAAAAATGTTTAATAAAGTAAAAAGAGTACATTTAAACACTACTAATTTAGGGGGGCAAACCTCAAAATAAGCTTATTTTAGAAAAACGTGAAAGGATATTTGATTGGCACATACCTTCTGAATGAGAACAAACAAATGATTGAGCTGATCTGAATTAAACTTGACAGCTGCTGCAGCAATAATAGTATGAATATTCTCGATCACAGTAGATGATTGTCCTGACTAGAAAGGAGACATTGGGAGAAAGTTAGGTCTTGGAACTTGGAAAAACCCAAGTCTTCTCCCTGGTAATTTATAGAAGCAAAAGAGTCTAATCAGCATTCACTTCCATGATAATACTGGCAAGACTATGAAGCAAACATTATTAATGGTTACCAGTTGGCCTTGTTTAAATTTCTAGCAGCATTAAATCTTTAATTACTTTACAAGACAATCATTCTCACTTTTCATAAATGAGCTTGATTGCCTCAGTTGAAGAGTTTTATCTGCCTCATTTTTAATTTTGCTCATAGATATTTTATGACTTCAATGAATATTTATTTATTCCATGAGCAGTTAGTCTCTGCTTCAGGGATGTAGACCCCATGGTTGACCTTATGTTGAAATTCACTTTATAGCCTCAATCACAATTCTGTCATGCCTCACTATTCACTATGTGAGTAGGAGGGCTTTTAAATATTCAATTACACAACAACTAGAGGCCCGATGCACAAAATTCGTGCAAGAATAGGCCTTCCTTCCCGCTGCTGCCGGCACCGGCTTCCCTCTGGCACCCAGGACCCGGGCTTCCCTCCATCCTGGCTTCATCCGGAAGGTCATCCAGAAGGATGTCAGATCTAATTAGCTATTACACTTTTGTTATTATAGAAGATTTGCTCAGTATCTACTAAACACACACACTTCGTGAATGTAGCAGGGATAAATAAAATATATATCATGGTCTCTAATCCTCAATCTATGTGAATTCAAAACTTACAAAACAAAATTATGACCGTATTCAAGTAAGGTCAAGACATGGGAAATAAAATTCAGGGTTTTTTTTCAGTCTTACACCTAAACTTTCTATAGTCTGTTATGTAATGCCAGGCTGTGCTCCCAGTATGTTCTAGCAATGTGAGGTACTCCTGGGAGATGAGCAGGCAGGAGGAAGAAAAAAGTGTATCTGGTTTGTGCTTGGGGACTGGATGCAGGTGCTGATATTTGTGGCAGCAGGGATTCTGGAGCCCTGGTGGCGGTATCGCCTCTTTTGACAGTTTAGCACGTGCAGTGAAATAACCTCCCAAAACAGCTTCCCTTCCTTGGACTTAATATCCCTTTTCATGTTTTGTTGTTCCAACATTTATACTTCCCCTTTTTGTTCTTCTGTCCTAGCAACATCTTTGCAAACAATGCCCTATATTCAATTCCCTCTGAGATACCTAGCACGGTTTCTGTTTCCTGACTGGATTCTGACTGATACAGTAGAGATAGCCAAGGTGAGCTCCAGGTTTCATTCTGGCTTAGCAACTAGATGAAGAATACTACCGTTACTGAAGTAGACTGGAAAATTACTAGGCTTGGCTATGTTGAATTTGAGATGCCTATGAGATAACACAGGTAAAGGGGTAACAGGTATTTAGGTATACTGCCCGGGAGCTCTAAGAAGAGGTGTGAATTAGAGATATACTAGTAATTCTGAGAGTCAGCAGCATCCAAATGTATTGGAAGTCATGGGGGTGGAGGGGAGAGGGGGAGATGAAACTGACCAGTGCAGGATTATATAATGAAAAAGGGCTAAAGACTAAGACTTGAAAAAAACTCATATTCACAAGGTAGAAGACATAAGTTAGTAAATGAGATTTAAGAAGGAATGCCAGAAAAGTAGGGGAATTGACTGTTAACAAAGTGAAGGAAAAAGGAATGAAGGGTATAACTGATTCTGTCACAGATGCTGAGAGTTTTGGTAAGATGAGATCTATAAACTCAATATGACTACCATCCTCATTTAATAGAATTAAATGGGAAAACTGTATTAATGAATACTGAAAAGAAATATAGTAAAAAGAAGACTGGAATGATAAACAAGACATACCTATTCCTAGCTCTGCCACTAACTGCTACACAGCCTGAAGTAAGGCTTTTCATTTTTCAATCTGAGAAATGAGAAGACTAGACTAGATCAGTAAGTAGTTTTACACCTTTTGAGTAGAAGAATCCTTTTTACATATACAATCTTAATAGCAACTCTATTTTTTTTAAAAAAAATAGTTTTATTGACTTCAGAGAGGAAGGGAGAAGGAGTGAGGGCTAGAAACATCAACGATAAGAGAGAATTATTGATCAGCTGCCTCCTGTACACCTTTATAGGGGATTGAGCCCATAACCCCAGGCATGTGCTCTACAGGGTTCAATTCTGGAACTGAACTGTGACCTCCTGGTTCATAGGTCGATGCTCAACCACTGAGCACACTGGCCGTCCTTAATAGCAACTCTAAACTGTACAGATTTCAGTAGAGTTGCTCGGGTTAAAGCAAGAATGAAGTTCCATTTTCCTGCTTACTCTCCATTCTCTTCCTTTCGTTATTATAAAAATGTCAGGTGAAAGCAAAAATAACTCTAATTAACTTACCTGTATCTTCCAAATTTTAGTGAGTTCATCTAAAGATAATTTACTGCCCAAGAGTTCAATAATTCCCTTTATACGATCACAGTACTGCGCTTGGTCTATGTTGCCTACGAGAAGAAACAGCAGAGGGGCAGGCAGGTACAGTGAACACTGACTTTGTAAATATGATTCTAGTAATTCAAAGCAATATTAACTTTCTATAAGATTATTCAAAGGCTAATCAAAGCAACAATTGCATAGATTTTTTATACAAAAATGTTATTTATAATTATGTATGAGGTAATATTATTTTAAAAGCAACTTACCTTCCAGTGCAATTGAAAGAACTGAGTTTTCAACTAGCCAATCTAACAATCTGTCTGTATCTATAGCATTCTTCACAGATTTGGATAAAGTGCTATCTTCTATTAGTTTGGTTACCTAAAAACAAATAAACAAAACACACCAGGATTATTGACAGAAAGTAATGCAAATATGCATAATCAAAATCTTCACATATATACATATCCTGTGACTTTTATAGTGTTACAATATGGTCTGACAAGTAGCTAAAATATATCAAAGGCCAGTTATTAGACAAAACAGATTACTTGTGATATCTTTTTTTAAAAGTATGGAGCCATTCTTATGACTCAGACTTCCTGGGCCACCGCTAACTGCCTCAGGGATAAGTATCTGATCCAAATTTCAATCAAGGCATGTCCTCCAAATTCTATACTTGGGACCGAAGAGCAAGTTAACTAGTCCCTCCAGGGTGATGGGAGCAATGTGGGGCCATGATGTCTACCATATGAAGGATGTTACTCTGCCGGTAGAAGAACAACAAAGCCAACAAGCTCAGAAAAGCAGAGTTAAGACTTCGAAAGAGTCTTGGATGCGGTCAGGTCTTGAATTCTAATTGTTCTTGTTGCCCACATGTCTTCCTGCCCCTTACTTGGTTTGGCTAGTCAATTCTTCGTTCATATGAAACAGCCCAGCCTTCTTCCACTAAATTTCTCTATGGCCTAGGACAGCGGTCACCAACCTTTCAGACCTCACAGACCACCAGCAGTATGCAGATGACCGGTTGGCGACCGCTGGCCTAGGATGATTTAAGATGAGCTTATTTCACTTCCAGCTAAGAATCTTAGTTAATACAAAACTGAAGGAAAAAGATTGGAATTATTATAACTCAACTCTATTGGTTCCATCTGTCACTCACTAAAATCAACTACGTAAACACATTTGAAATATAATAAAAGGAATTGTACCCTTAGGCTAAAAAATAAATCTCAAACTGTGTATGTCAAGAAATTATGTTCTAGGAAATATCACGAAAGCATCAAATATTTCAAACATTTCAGAGAACAAATTTTTAATATAATCTAAAAAAGTCACGTTATTAACATAATTAGAGGCCTGTGCCCTCTTGCAATCTGGGACCCCTCGGGGGATGTCAGACTGCTGGTTTCAGCCCGATCCCTGCAGGCCAGGCCGAGGGACCCCAGCAGTGCATGAATCTGTGCACTGGGCCAGTTTCAACCTGATCCCTGCAGGCCATGCCAAGGTACCCTACCAGTGCATGGATGCACCGAGCCTCTAGTATGCATGTAAGATCTTTGGTTAATCTCTTCTCACCCTCCCCCTTCCCTCTGAGATTCATCAGTCTGTTCCATGTTTCCATGCCTGTGCATTAAGTGTCTGCCCCCTGGTGGTCAGTGCACCTCATAGCTACTGGTCAAATGGTCGAACAGTCCGCTGGTTGCTTAGGCTTTTATATACATAGATTATAAACATACACACCATTTCACATATAATCACATCCCTTTTTTGTATGATTACAAGAAATTGTTCATTTCCCAACATTTTTATATAATAACCATAAGTTTTGGCAGAATTTAAAGTGTCTGTGCTTTAAGTCTTCTAGAAACAAATGAAAAACTTACTTCTTTGAGGGAATTCATTTTAGCGCTAAAATGGGGTGATTTCAGCATGCGCAGTAGGATGTCTAATCGAAGGTCGTCCACTACAGTCACCAGATCTGGTTGGAAGCGCATGCAAAGTAACTTGATGGCAGACAAGAGCTCGGGGATACTAACCAATCTCTTTTATGAAAAACACATACGCACACACAAAAACAAAAAAGGAAACATAAAAACATTTTTATCCCAATTCTTACACACACAGGAAATACAGGACATTTTCAATAACAATGGTCTGTGCTATCTGATACTCCACATGGTCAATCAGCTGCATTTTGCTTCTCAACATGGGTGAGCAATGGAAAGGAAAGGATCCTGTGAGAAATTCAAGGCAGACAAATAAATCATGTTGTTGCATGTTTAACTGCTTTAAACAAATTTGGATAAACTTTTAGTACTGAATTATTTTAAAGCTTCTTCATTGCTATACAAATTACATTAAAATCAACATGTTAGTAAAATTCTGAATGATGTCACTGAGAAGCCTATATTTATTCTATTGACTGAGATAGCACCAACCATTTATGCTTCAGAAGCAGCATTTTTCAATTAGAAAATGTATAATTAATTTGATATGAGTTGTATAGGACCAGAATCCAAAGAACAATGGAGTGTGAACTGAGCCCCAAGTCCTGGCTCTGCTTCCATGGACCAATAGGCACTGGGGCCTGTCTGCTGGAGACAGCACTTACCTTGTCTTTGAGGTCCTTTTCCTCCACACTCCGCACATCCTGGATTGTAGTAAGGATGACCGGGTCTAGCATAGGCTACAGAAAAAAAGTACTACCTTAATAAAAAGTCCTGAATCTGTCCTAAAATTAGAGAGGAGATACTTCATTCACCTTCCACAAAGGAGACAGTGCAATTCTAGTAGCAGAGCTAACACTACCTTGCTAATACCATTCCAAGAAAACCTTTAACTGCGTTTATGCCTCAGCTTCTTTAATATCAGAGGGGGGAATCCCTGTAATTACAATCTTATAACAGTAACTTTAAAGAGCAACCAAAGGGATATGGACTTTTAAAAATTAAGCACAAATATGTATTAAATTTGTAATAAAGTAAATATTTTGCATTTGATTTTAAAAAATGAATATAAGCACAGAGCACAAAAAATATGCTATTATATGCACTACTTTTGCTTGCTGATATAAATGAGGCCCATAGATGAGACTCACACAACACATTACTCCAGGATGGTAGCATAATCAGACAACTAACTGTAAACAGTATGTGAGAAGTAGTCAAATACTAGCTAAATCTAAATGATCACTTCCATCTAAGTAAAATAATTTTTAAAACTTATCTGGTGATGAAAGAAGATGAACAATATTTGGCTGTGAAAGCTAAGAAGACATTAGCAATGAGTTAAAATGACATCAGGCAATTAACCAAATAGAATTTCTTAATGTTGGTTGTACAGTGAGGACTGAGGGCTGTTAGGGTAAAGTCAAGGCACACTGTTCTTGTCAGCACGTGCCAGCCCTGCTTCTCACTGCAACTCTGTGAGATAAGCATGATCACCACCATTTCACAGATCAGGAAGTCAAGGCACAGGAGTTACAGCAAAATCACACAAGCTACAAATGGTAGAAACAACTATTAATTTATGGCAAGTAACATGGGATGACTATGACATGAATTTAAGGTTGGGTAGTTTAATATAATAAAATAAAGATGAAGTTAAATATGCTTTGGTTGGAAAGTCATCTACTTTACTCTTTTTCAAGTAATCCTATACTTGTATATAAAACCTGAAATTTCTAAAGAACTTAGTATTAACTAGCAGCTGGAATATTTATGCTGAATCTCTTTCCACGGAGCATTGCATGCATTTAAAAATCCAATCCTGGCTTTGTTACTAAAAAGCCAATTATTAAATTATTAATTCTTGTTAAATTATTAAATATTCAAATCACTTTGCCTCTGTGTCTTAGTGTTTCAATTACAAAACTAATGGTTACAGTTAGATGCTTACTAAGTTGAAAGAATACTAGATGTTTATCAAGAGCTTAATATCCAGAATGAAAAAATCCTGTCATTCTATTTCATTTGAAAATCTTGCAGTATTACTTTGACATCTAAAGAAGGCATTAACACTGGAAATAGCAGAAATTTCCAGAACCTACTAAAAAAATCGTATCTCCCTTGTTAAAATGGCCCTAAGTAAATCATGTTTTAGAAAGAAGGAATTGTGGATAGAAAACATTGCCCCCAAAGGACACGGCGCTTTTAAATTTACAGTGATTTTTAAAAATCTCTAACAGTTACCAGTTTCACATACTCATTTATAAATAAAATAATAAATGGAGGTATTTCAGTGTGATATTTTATTCAGTAAAGCTTATTAACTGAAATAGAAAGGAAATGAGAGTATAATAGGCCTTAAGCACTATAAAACTGAACATTCACAGCTTTGAGTATTCTATGATCTGTTGACTTACAACATGCAGAGACAGGAAATCAGACAAGATGTGCTATCAAGCTGTTATTCCGTAGTGAGAGATTCAGCTAGTAAGTTAGTCTAGTGGGTTGTTCAACATTGATCTAATTTAATACATAATGGTACTGAACCTTAAAAATCCTGTGAAGGGAGTGGGATTTATGCAGCCTTTTTACAGACAAGGAAATGAAGAAAAATATATGCTGTTATATATATAAACTAGAGGCCTGGTGCACAAAATTTGTGCACATGGATGGGGGGCGGGTCCCTCAGCCCAAACTGCACCTTCTCGCACCTCCATGGAGCAGGCCTGAGCCATCAGTCGGACATCCTTAGTGTTGCCGTGGAGGCAGGAGTGGCTTCCATCACCACTGCTGCGCTAGCCAGCCATGAGCCCAGCTTCTGGCTGAGCGGCGCTCCCCCTGCGGGAGCGTACTGACCACCAGGGGACAGCTCCTGCATTGAGCGTCTGCCCCCTGGTGGTCAGTGTGTGTCGTAGCAACCGGTAGTTCTGTTCTGTTGATTTGCATATTAGCCTTTTGTTATATAGGATAATGTCATATTATGGACGAGGCCTCTAATTCAATTTTTTTTAGGTAAAGGGAGGGGAAGAATTTTCACTTGAGCCTGAAGCTAAAATTGCCCTTAGCTCAAAAATCTGCATACCACTGAGACACATCTTGATGAGGCTCATTCTGAACCCATACACTGTTCTATTATGTGTATAAGTATTGGGAGCTATCTTATCTCTTTAGTGAAAGGAACCTTTTGTTATGTTACAATGACTAACTTTATCTCATGAGTTGTGTTTTGGCTTCAAGCCTGCAAGTATTCATGCAGCAACTTCAGTGCTTCTTGTTCAATATTTACCTGGCATATCTTTTATTTTATTTTCTCTAAATCTTTCTAGATTTTTATGTATTAGATAGGAATAGCCCATGGACACAGACAATAGTCTGGCTAAGGCCTGGAAGGGGTGGGTGCAGGGTGGAGGAGATCAATGGGGGAATAATAAAACTAAAACAAAGGGACATCTGTAATACTTTCAACAATAAAGATACATTTTAAATAAAGAAAAATATCTTAGTTGAAAAGAGTTTTATGTGAAATAATATAAGTAATTGCTCTACACTGTACTTTATATTCTCAACTCCTCTCAGAGAGATGTTAATTGACCCTATGTTCACTGACTGCAGGACTGGCTTTCGCCACGCTGACCCAACACTGACTGCCACAGGGCTGCGATCAGACCCTGCTTTTCTCTCTGGGCCTCTGTCTGGGCCTGATCACAGCCCCCATGGCAGTCAGTGCTGGGTTGCTGAGGCTAATAAAGAGGGTTTTAGATTCTGGCACGTAAATGTGTTTCCTGCTTATCCATGACGGCAGGCCGAGCGCAGACACTGGCACAGCCACAGTTCTTTACTCCTTCCCAGGCCTCCGTCCAAGGGCTGCGCAGGCGCTTCACACAGGGAGGGGGACGGAGAGCAGGTGGGGCAGCCCTGCTTTTCCCAGACCTTCTGTCTCAGTCCCCATCTTCCTGCTCCGGGTCTTCTGTAGGGTCTTCCTTTTGAGGCGAATTCAGGCATCTGAGGGACAGTTTATCACAGCTGTTTTCCGTGTGGGTGGTCAACAGGGGGGTGTTCCTGAATCAGGCTTCCTTCGGCATTGCAGTGGAGGGTGGGGAGGGGAGACAGCATGAAGGTGCAAACACAACCCGTGGGGAAGTCTCGCTGAGCACCTTATGTATACCTTCTTTATATCTGGTGGGTGTCTCCCCTCAGAAAGAGCGCTCCCTATGTCTGCAACCAGTAGGTATGTGTGTATGTTGGGGTGTGGGGTGGGTGGGTGAGGCTGGTTGGCTGCTGCAGTGCCCTCATAGCAAGGGGAACCGAGAGCAGGTCCCCATCTTCCTGCTCTGGGTCTGTAGGGTCTTCCTTTTGAGGTGGATTCAGGCGTCTGGGGGACATGTTTATCACACCCTGTTTCCCGTGTGGGTGGTCAACAGGGGGGTGTTCCTGAATCAGGCTTCTTTCGGCATTGCAGGGGTGGGGTGGGGGGAGGGGAGACAGCATGAAGGTGCAAACACAACTCATGGGGACTGAGTTAGGTATACAGAAGACTGAGCGCCTTCTGTATACCTTCCTTACACCTGGTGGGCGTCTCCCCTCAGAAAGGGTGCTCCCTATGTCTGCGACCAGTAGGTGTGTGTGTGTTAGAGGGCATGGGGGGGAGCAGATGAGGCTGGTTGGCTGCTGCAGTGCCCTCATAGCCAGTGACAGCGGGTGGGGCAGAGTACCTGGGACCCTGGATTCCCCCTGCTGC